TAACCAATACAATATTCAGACTCTTACGTAATCAGTATCCCGTTCCGACTTTCATTTACTTTAGGAGCTTTATTAAACTTTGAAAACTACTAGAAAAAACAAAAAAGGGGGCCTTTTGTACAAAAGACAAAAACCTCCAAATTAAACAGGAAGTAATGTGCTGGCCCACAGATGAGTAGAAAGTCACATGCTAAACCCCCCAAAAAGTGATATATTTTTAAAGTAAACTGCATGCACATACTGCTTCCAAATCATCTGGATTTCATAAAATGAAACCACAGTGTGGCTAGGAGTCAGGCAGCTCTTAACATCAAAACATCTTTCAGGGTTAGAGCAACCAACTTCTAAACAGTTTCAAAAAGCAGTACAGACCCTGCTCCCCAACCACTCCACTCCTTAAAAATCAATGTCCTTACAATAATGCTAGCAGACATAAAACTTCAAAAAGATTTAGTACAAAAAAACTGTACACGGGTGGGGGCAACAGCTAAGCTTCCTTCACTGCTTCAATGGATCATCTGCAAAGTTTAAGATTTTTAAATCACAAAGGTTTTTAAGAAGGATGCTGCAAGGTATTTTCCCTAACTTTAAAATGATTTTAATAACTCCTTAAGCTTGAAACAATTAAGTACTAATACTAGTTTTTATTCAGTATGCACATCACCCCCCTCACTTGTTACATGGCTGCTCAAAAAATTAGTGTCAACTTAGAAAGCCACTGGCTTTTAATGAAAAAGTACATGAATAGAGTACATGGTGATGGTAGAATCTGTATTTTAGAAAATTTACATTTTGCACATACCAAATATTTTCATAGCTTGTCCCCCAATAAAGTACCATATAAAATATTAAAACTGGAATTAAGACTAAAGTTCTTAATGTCATTGTCTGTGATTAAGTGGAAAGAGGGCCAAATATTTTGTTCCTTAGTGACTGAATAAATGTTTTCATTATTCTCTTCTCCACTCCACCACTTAAATCTACCACTGGTGTCTGTAATCCTTCACATGACAAATTAAAACCATCCATCATACGGACAAACAGGTGCAGAAGACTCTGACTCAAGTTCTATTACTTCTTTGCTTTCAACATTATTTTTAACATTAGCTTTAACTTACAGAGACTATTCCGCAATAAATTCTTTCGGTAAAAGGAAGTGACAGCAATTTTGTAACTAAAAAAAAGATGTTGCTAATTAGTAAAGTTCTTTGCCAGTTTCCAATAGGAAACTTCATTTTCATAGATTTTCCTTACAGCCGTATTGCTTTATCTTTGGTTCATGGAACACATCTAGCCTGCAGAGCTCCTCATGGGTCTGGAAATTTGGCAGCGGGAGAGCGGTGGATCCAACATGCAGGCTTGCTCCACAGCTAGATCTGGGGTGCAAGGCCAGGCTGGCACAACTGATTGCTTCCACCGATCAACCTCATGTGCTGACCCCACCTAGATTCAGCCTGTGGGATCTGGCCTGCTGACCTGCCCCACACAACTCATCCAGGCCATGGGGCCAGAAGGTTAAGCACCACTGTCCCACAACATGAAACTGCACACAACATGAGCAGAAAAACTTTAAACATATATGAATACACAAGTATATTACTTAGATGTTGTGCTCTAACAATAGCCATCAAAATTGTGGATTTTTTGGTGCAAGGTACAGGAACGGAAGAGTGGAAATCATTTCCTTTCTTTTTTTTTTAAATTAATCTTTGAGATTATGAGCATTACTTTCTCTTCTCCGAATATGTCCATGGCCTTACATTACAGCCCTTTCTTCTGCCAAGTGACAACTAGGCAGGTTTAGCTTCAGTTAGTAATTTTCATTCAAAAGAAGTCAAGCTTAGAATGACTCCTCTCATTATGGCAGGCAATGCCATACTTTTGTCATTCAAGACAAAGTGCTATCTATATTCATATACAGAATCATGTATTAAAACAGCACATATGCACAGGTTTCCTCTGGCATGCCTAAAGCAATGATAGTTGAGGCTAGGAGATAACCAGTTCAATGCTCTCCCTCTAAAGCAGTGTTTCCCAACCTTTTCCAGCCCAAGGCACACATAACATTAATAACAATTTTCTGCAGCGCACATGTTAAGGCATTTCCTATCCTCATACCTATTGTAGCTCATTGCCACGGCAAAATTCTGCATCACACCTGTTCATTTCTGACAGCAGACATTTGTGCTGCAGCACACTGGTTAGGAAATACTGCTCTAAAATATCCATCCCTGCTGCCGTTTAAGCTAGCCTAACCATTGGTCTGACCCAGTGTGGCACTTCTTATTGCTCCTAATAAAAGCTTAAGCAGTTGTAGGTATAAGAGCATCTCTAACACAGTAAAGTACTGCTTTATTTGGAGCAGTGCCACCTGCTGATCAATCACTGTAATTTTCATTTGTTACTTTTTCTTTTTTTAATACTTCACCCAATGGAACTTAAGGGACCAAGAAATAAAACTGGGACCAGCCATCAAACTAGAGCCCTCTGCAAAGAAAAGGAAGTGCATCTTCTTTTCATACAAAGACAAATCCTTATTTTTTGTATTTAAAATGCACTTTAAAAATACCATATTTACTTGTATACCAAACACACTTCTCCTCCAAAAGTCAGCCAACCAAATTGGGGTGCATGTTTTAAATGAAGATGGTGATTTCCAGACCAGAATGGAGGCAGGAAACACTGGAACAGCTGCTGTGGATTGGCTCTGTGCTAGGCTCTGGTGGCATTTTATGTGTTGCTCCATGTACATTCTCTCCCCTTGCAAAATCTGCTGCTCAAGGCTTAACCCCATCAGAGCTGCTGGCAAATCAGCAACAGCCAATTTGGCAGAGGCCGTGATGGAGTTGAAGCTTGAGCTGAGGAGCTTTTATAGAGAAAATGCCTGAAGATAAATCTTTTCTTCTTCATTCTGCTTTCCCAAAGCAAGATGCATGTCTTATTTGGGGGTCTGTGGTATGCACAAAAATATGGAGTTTGAATATCAACTGATTTTCTTATTCTGGAGAGAAACATTGGGGGGGTAGAACAGTCAATTAAAGCAGATTACCATAGCTAAAATATTAACATTGCTTACCCTGATGTGAAAAACTTTAAAACTCTTAAGACACTTTAATCGGCATGTTTCTTTCCTTCCTCCCCATTTTGTGGGGTCAAAAAAAAAAAACACAGAATTTCAATTCCAGTATCAGTGCAAGATACATAACCTGAGTTCTACTGGAGAAGTCAAGTGTCATTAGAACAAGGGAGTTAACAGAAAAGTAAAAACGTATAATCACTATCAAAGCTTCTCAAACACCGTTTATCAATTTCATCAATTCCCTTTTCTGTCCTGCTTCAAAAGTTCATTGTCTGTCAATCTTCCTGAACATTGTGTTGTTCTTATGAAATGGAAACTGCACTAACAACTATGTCCAAAAGCAACTCTCTGTTCTAAGTAGCCACTAGAAAATAACCCAACTAATTTGAAACTGGAAGTGCAAGATAATCTCTTTTGCACATCTAATGCTTATCTGGGAGACCGCAGCCTACTGTTGGATATAAAAAAAGATTTTATGTATTCCTAGATAATTCTACACATTTAAACAGAACTTCTGCTGCTTCTTACAACATTTTTCTTAAAGCTTCAGCTTCTTAAAAAACCCTGTTGGATGCTGCACAGTGGCACTTCTGTACTGCTGCTGTAAATTAGTGATGTCAAACTAATTTAAAATGTGCATGTGACAAGTCAGTCAGTTCCAGGGAAAACTGCAAGTTTCCCACTTCTCATACTCTGCTGCTCTTCAAATGAGAAAAATCAACAGGACAACACTTTAGCATAGAAAATTCCACTTCAGCTTGCCAATTTCATCTTGAACATTAAACTGAAATGCAGAAGTCTGATCAGCAGTTAATCTAGCGCATGCCAAAAGTCATGTATTTCCAGTCTCTCAGACTTAAGCCCACTACATCATATAAGAACTCTACTGAAGAAATGTTTTGCCTCAAATTTCTCAAGATTTTGAGCACAGTCTCTTTCAAAGGTAAGATGAACTTTAGATACATATGCATCCAAAACTTACCTCCACCTTTGTAAAAAACAGGAATAAAACTTGTTTCAGCAAAAAGATGGATATTGGTTTAGAAGTACTTACCTATACCAAATACCTTAAAAACAGTACAACAGTGTCTAGTCCATAATTTTTTTGGGAAAAGGGACTCAATTGCTTTGATAAAGCTCATCCCCCACACAGTAAAAAAAGAATCACAAGAGACTCTCTCTGTTACCTGAAAATGACTGGGACTTTCAAACACTGGTTACATAAATTACACTACAAATTTAAAATTCAGATGTACCCAAGTGGGGGAGTCCTCCATACGGCAGCTGGAATTCTGTGCACGTACTTCACATTACCACAACGAAGACTAACATAATAAGCACCACAATATGGCAAGGTGAAAGGGTCCCTCCCTCCTTTTGGGCAACCTATTCTGCATACAGTATTTTAAGATCAAAATGAAAAACAAGTGAAACCAAAGTAATTTGGGCAGTAAAATATGGTGCAAACAACCTCTTCACTCCACAAAATAAATATAAAATTTAGTTGGTTTGCAGGCTGTTTTTTCCTTAATTCATTTAAACATTTTAATCCATACCAAATTATAAAACACGTCTACACACTTTTTCAGGATTACTACTCTTCCTCAAAGCACTTTTGCTACATATTTGTGTAACCCCCAATCAAATCCAAAATGTCTGATGAGATTATAACATTAGAAGTACCAACTTAAGAAATTAAATTCAGAATGTCATTATAGGAATATAGAAATTTCCAGGTTCCATTTTTCTGAGTTGCTATTTCCTTTACTTTGTTCAGTCTGTATATTTTACAGAACAGGAATTTGCAGCTAAGGTAATATGACATAAATGTACTCTGGGCAAGTGCATGATGTAAGTACATTTTCATAGCAAGTAAATAACATTGTTGTTTTGATCAGTTCATGAGACATTGTTTTCATACCTTAGCAGCAACAATGCTTAAGCCCATTCCATTTTGTTTTTTTAGTGTCACTGTGATGATTTCAGGTTCTTTCCTCAAAGGCTGAGCCTACCAAAAGAAAAAGTAGAGAGAGAGGTAAGCACACATGGCAAGACTGCACATAATGGCCACTCTATAAAATCAATAAAACAAAATGATTTATACAGGAAGAGAGATTACATCCAGAGATCCTTCTGCAAATAAATTTAATTTTCATTATAATTTTAAAATCTGTAACATTTCATTAACATGAATAGGTATCAAAGTAAATCAGCATTACATTTGTACTCAGAATTCTGCCACAGTTATGCAGTCTATCAAAAATGTTCTTTTCTCTTGATCTGTGACACTTTAAAGTTAATAAAAACTATAAACAGAATGTACATCTGGGTCAGACAATTCTAAAAATGACATTTAAGAAAAAATATCTTGACAAGTTTCATACAACGGGGTAACACTTGTAAAAAACAAATCAAAGAATATTCACATTTAATTATTTATACAAATAATTGTATTATTCTGCAATGTATAGTATTATATATTTATTATTTTTTTTATTTACAGAAAATTTTATTATTAACAGAAATATTAACACATTGTGGTCAAGTTAAAATATTATAAAAATAAGGATATTTTAAGAAAAAATTATATTAGCGCGCACACATCAAATGCTTCTACCAAAATGGAGCCTACTTCCATTGATTTAAATGGAAGCATGAGAATGCTTTATAACTATACTAAGCCACTGGAAAAAATGAAAGATTTCTGTAAAAACACCAGAGGACTCAAGGAGAAAGCCACAAGACTCCGGGAAACAGAATGCTTTATCACTGCTTCCATCTATCAGTTCCTCTCTGATCAGACAGTTTAACACAAGGCAAGATAAGCACTATAAAGTTTTACAGACTATCACCAGAAGTAAATTTCAAATAATGAAAATTTTAGCTTCTAAAATATCAGGTGGCTCAACTATACAAAAAAGAAAGATGCACCTCATTTTTGTGTTGGCTAGACATACAAGGAGCCTCAACAACACCATTTGTCTCAGATGAGTCTCCAGCTGTAGGATTGTTTAATGAAATGAGAGGCTTCGGGCTGTTTTGTAAGAAATCCAGAAATCCTGGAACTTCCTTGTTTCCAAGGGCATTGTCTAAACTTTTCTTCCAGCACCTTGCTGTGTCTGTTGGCAGAATGCTTGTACAAGGCCAAGAGCTGTTTACTTTATAGGTGTGTCCCATCTCTAGGGCTTTGCATTCAGTGCCATGCTAGCTGTTTCAAAATAGGGTAAATTGGGATAAATAATCAGACTTTAGGTAGGAGATCCTGCCAACTGGATGTGCTAGTGTTCACTGTGACACAAATAGCGTATCAACTAAGAAGTGCAGCTAAGTCACGATACGCAAATCAAGCAGACTACTATTAATATCTCAATGAATGCCTACGGAATGGAAAGGATTTTTGGGCGATATCTTCCATTTTACCAACTGCATAGTTTTCTTCTAATAATGGCAACTGCCATAGGTAAATTGAAGAAACAGTTGTTGAAAGGGTCCTATTATAATACTGAGGTAAGTCTCTCATATCCACTGATGTCAAGTCTCCTGGATAGACTGCAGCAACTGTGGAAGTTAAATCCTCTATCCTGATTTTTATTTTTGTCAATTCAGCCTTGCGCGTGTACCACAGACCAGTCTATTTCAAAGCTTTCTTAGTATGACAAATATGGAATAAAACCTTCAGTCACTTATTACCTCAAAAGATAAGTACCAATTTCACTAGTTCTAGAAGTGAGAAAATTTTCTCTACGTTGATTTAATACTTGTTAATCACCCGAAGTAACAGAGAAAATGAAGGGATGTGACAGAACCCAAAACCCCAAAGAATGTGTCTGCTATGCTATCTTCTATATTCACCCATTCATTATTAGGTCCAGATGCCTGTTAAGTAAGACACAATAGTCTCCAAGCCTATATATGGATCAAGGCAGGCCAGGTTCACTCACAGTCACTGAAGTTATTTTTAACTTGCATTTGCCATGTCACTGAAGCACAAAGGTTCTTCAGGTCACTGCATGGGGACATCATGGTCTTAGCAAAATACAGCTGGCAGCTTGTTGACCACTGCTGCCTGCAATAGAAATTAGTGGCACTTGGGAAGGCGCTGGGACCAGCTTGAGGCTTTGGCCACATTGAGCAGGAATGGGAGGCTCACAGGGGTTCATGTCCAAGTAGTCCTCGTCCCCACATCAGCCTAACACACCCTACACCACCACCTTCTGCACTATGGGAGATGTTTCTGCTGGATGGGAAGGTGTTGGCACTGTCAGCAGGCTGATAAGGGGACTAGCAGCTACTGGGACATGACTTACATGCTGCACAGGGAGCAAACATCACCAGTTCTGCCTCTGCTTGGAAGTCCCTTTAAATGACAGTTTCTACCTTCCTGACCAAATCTCTTGGAATGGAATCCCCTTAGCAGAAATTGTCACATCCTTTGCACTTCTGCACCAGCCTTAAGAAGGCTAAAGAAAAGTCTTTGGGTTCAGAGCTTGTTGAGCAGAAAGGGAACTGAAAATTAACCAACTCATGATTAGTAAGCAGAAAGTCAACAAGACCTCTCCCAGTTGGCTTCTCTGCCATTTATAAACAAGTTGTCCCCAACACAACACAAAAGTTTCCTGGCCTGTCTGCAGGAAAAGTTTGCAGAAAGCTTTCATATAACTTTCTCTGACAGCTGTTTCAAACACTGAATACCTACCAGCTCAGCATTCTCACGTAACAGGTGACTTTCATAGTCTGCACCTTCAAAATATATTGTCCAAGTCCCTGGTGAACGTGGATGAGGTGTTAACCTGCAGAAGCCTAAAAGAGAAATAGAAAATTCACAAAAAAAAATTTGGTGGAACAAGCAAAACCAAATAGCTTACACACTGGGGTATTACCTCTGACCCATGTTACATTTAGATGCGACTAACAGAAACCTCACCACAAGTGCCACTCAATTTAAGGCATGATAGTGTAGTAAACAACCCACAAAATTATTCCACACAACACGGAACAAGTTTGTGGCTCATCTGTATCATGCCTTAAACTGAATGTGTAGCCAGGGACTGTATAGACCTGATGCGACACCCAGCTGGGGACTGCATGTGGTTTTAGTTTCCAGGACACAGGGAGCCTAGAGCTGGGATGCTGCAGCCCAATATGGGGCTCTCCATGCACCAAGCTGATTGTCTGTTGGATGAATGGATTGTAAGATGGACAGAAAACTGGCTGGAGCATTGGGCTCAGAAGGTAGCAATCAATGGCTCAATGTCTACTTGGCAGCCGGTATCAAGTGGAGTGCCTGGGGACAGTTTTGATTGGGTTGGTCCTGGGAAGGGTTTTGTTCAATGTCTTCATCAAAGACCTGGAAGATGGCATAGACTGCACCCTCAGCACATCTGCAGATGACATCAAGCTGGGGGGAGTAGTAGATATGCTGGAAAGGGCTAGGATTTAGAGAGACCTAGACAAAATTTGAGGATTGGGACAAAAGGTCTCTCATGAGTTTCAACAAGGACAAGTGCAAAGTGCTGCACTTAGGATAGAACAATCCCATGTACAGGCTGGGGGCTGACTGGCTGGGCAGCAGCTCTTTAGAAAAGGACCGGGGGGTTACAGCAGACAATAATCTAAATACAAGTCAGCAGTGTGCTCTTGTTGCCAAGAAGCCTAATGGCTTACTGGGCTGCATTGGTAGGTGTATTGCCAGTAGGTCAAGGGAAGGTGTATTGCCCTCTATTCAGAACTTGAGGCCACATTGGGAGTACTGTGTTCAGTTTTGGAGCCCCCACTACCAAAAGCATGTGGACAAATTCAGGAGTTCAGCAGAGGGCAACAAAAATGGTGAGGGGGTTGGGGCACATGAATTATGAGGAGAGGCTGAGGGGACTGGTCTTATTTAGTTTAGAGAAAAGAAGACTGAGGAGGGACTTAATAGCAGCCTTCAACTACCTGAAGGAAGATTCAGAAGAGGATGTAGTTAGACTGTTCTCAGTGGTGGCAGATGACAGAACAACGAGTAATGGTCTCAAGTTGCAGCAAGGGACGTTTAGGTTTCGTATTAGGAAGAATTTTCTTACCAGGAGTGTAGTAACCTGGTTCCAGTGTTTTACCCAGAGAGGTGGTGGAATCTCCATCCTTGGAGGTTTTTAAGACCTGGCTAGACAAAACTATGGCTGGGATTATCCAGATGGTCCTGCTCTGAGCAGGGAATTGAACTAAGTGACCTCCTGAGGTCCCTTCCAACCCTAATTTTCTATGATTCTACGATTCTAATGTACAGTCAGCTGACTGCTTTCATCTGTGGGTGCAGAGGGAGTCTGGGACTGTGAACGTGTAAGACGTAATTGGGATCCGGTGCTTGATTCCAAGAATTGCGTGTCCTACCATGCAACATGGGCATGGTAGGGGCTGGGGTGCCACAGGGGATGCAGTCAGGAAGGCCAACCATACCTTGTCACACATCCACAGATGCATCTCAAGCAGGTCCAAGGAGGTGATACTCCCCCTCTATGCGGCACCGGTCAGGCCGCAGCTGGAGTACTGCGTCCAGTTCTGGGCGCCGCACTTCAGGAGGGATGTGGACAACATGGAGAGGGTCCAGAGGAGGGCCACTCGCATGATCAGGGGGCAGCAGGGCAGACCCTACGAGGAGAGGCTACGGGACATGACCCTGTTCAGCCTCCACAAGAGAAGGCTGAGGGGGGAGGATCTAGTGGCCTGTTACAAACTAGTCGGGGGGAGGGATCAGCAGGCACTGGGGAAGTCCTTCTTCCCCCCAGCACTGCCAGGAGTGACCAGGAATAACGGTCACAAGCTGGCAGAGGGTAGATTTAAGCTAGATAGATATCAGGAGGCAACTTCATGGTCAGAGCGGCTAGGATCTGGAACCAACTTCCAAGAGAAGTGGTGCTGGCTCCTACCCTGGGGGTCTTTAAGAAGAGGCTAGATGAGCACCTTGCTGGGGTTGTTTGACCCCACTACTCTTTCCTGGCATGGCAGGGGGCCGGACCCTAGAAGGTATGAAACTATGAAACTAGGTGCCCAGAGGCAGTAAGTTCAAAGCCATATCAAGAAGCACTCACGGTGTAGCCCTGTCAGATTTGAATGAACCTGCAAATTCCACTAAATTCCTCGTTACAAGGACACAAGACAGAAAGGAAGGACGTGAATGGCAGGAAGGACGTGAATGGAAGGACGTGAATGGCAGGACATGCGATTTTGGGATCAGGGATTACATCCCATCACTTTTTAAAGTAAACATCTGTCCAGGGCCATCCAGCAATATTTACTCTCTTTTGTTGAAATGTTTAATAGGTAACCCCAAACTGATGATTAGAAATACAACTATTCATTTTGCAGCAGTTCCAAGTTTATCAGTAACCAAAATTCTATAGCTTGTCCATCCAAGCACCTCACTGAATGTTGCAAATGTTAGGGACAACATACATAACTAATGAGCTTGAACCCCATGCAGAAAATATGGTACTGCTTATACTAACCAAGCAGCAGTTACTTCTGAAAGACTTTGTGGAACAGTGTGTGTGGTGGGGTGGGGTGGGGGCGCAAGAGCTGGCAGGACAGCTATCAGCATGGCCACTTAAGAGTTTCTGGCCACTCTCCTGCTCTGTGGCAAGGCTAGAAACAGAACTATTTTTTCTGTCAGACCTGCATTTTTATACATTAAGCATTGTTCCTCTACTCAAGGCCAAGTTATAAGTCAAACTGGTAATCGGTCTAAAAAACAAAGCTTAAATGGCTACAATTATGTACAGTAGCTTTTTTCACCTTCACAAAAAAATTCTTTGAAAATTTACATTCCAGATTAGCCTTTAAAAGGGGACTAAATTTTGAAGATATAAACAAAACAAAGAAAGTAGTTAGGCAGGTTTTCTAGGTACAATACAGCAAAATCCAGAACATTTCTGGGTCAAAAGGATTCCATGAGTTAAGACTTTTCCCCCCTCAACACAGGCTAGTATGATTCATTTTAACTTTTGAAGAATTCTGTTTTACTAGCAAGTGAAGTTCTTTTAGATGAATGTCATTACTTCAATCCTAAAACAAAAGCATCTGAAACAAGGAATCTCACACTTTTTCCATGAAACTGACCACAACTGAAGAGAAAGAATGCCTTGTGCAATTTACATTCTACTGACACTGACCACCTCTCTTTTCCCATCCTTTTAGCATCTTGACATCCCTGTGGACACTATAACTGCTTACACAGAAGAACTGATTATGGGAAATGTAAACAGACTTTCAGACACTTCTTAATGCAATTTGGCAGCTGAAGATATGGCCGAAAGGTAATATCATGCGACAACCTGTTCTCCTGGTAAGTGAACTTTTGGGCCTGAGGGATGAACGCAGAAAAATGTGACGATCCAATTTTCTCTTCTGCTTTGCCTTTTCCTGTTACTAATGTCTATTTCATTTCACCCAAGTACACATGCTTGCTTTTTTCTCCTTCCTGCCCACTACCTTGATAATTTTATAGAATATAAATTTTCCAACAGTACACCAATTCTGTACTTTTATCATATTTTTACATAATGAACATTATTTCATAGCAAGTAAAAAAGCTTTATTTTTCAGGCTCCAGTGCTTTCCAATACATTCTAAAGGAAGCTTGTAAATATTTTATCATGTTCTCTTGTCACTATTTAATAGATACTGACTAAAACATGAGTAGCAATATTCTACATGACATCAATTAATTATAAAAATGGGCATCCTTCATTCTCTGCCATTGATAATGGTGTAACTATGCACCCCACTACTTCACATCAGAGGTGCAGGCATGTGGTGCCAACTTTCTTCCATGTCATTTCTACAGTCTTTTCTGCCCTTTTTCATTTCTGCAGTATCAAATGTGCTAGCACTTGCCAACCAAGAACAGAGGGAATGCTTCACTTTATGTACAATAAGTACAAAAACCTTAATGCATGTGGTTAGTAAACAGTTCTTTGACACTGTAAACTTCAAACACAGAAAATTCAAGTTCCCTTGGTGACCTACTTGTTATTTTGCTGCTCAGGTATCAAGAAGTATATTAATAAAGCTTCTGAAACAGTGTGGAGAGAGCACAGTCAAAACAAAATGCCAATATAAGCACTACTAATTTCCTGCACAGGGCAAATTTAAAGAGTTACAGAAAAATTTAAATAGGATAATGAAGAAGATTTAAAAACATTGTGAAGAGAGAAGAAAAATAAAAAAGATGTGTAAATACCTCTAAAAATATTTCAAATTCTGTGTTATTGTACTGTACTAGAGAAAGGTAACCCTATTATAATGGCACAACAATAGCAGGACTAACCTCTCTGGCACAGTGGATCTAAAAATTCTTGTAAACCGTTTGGAATGTTTCTGACAACATCACATGAATAGCCATCTTCTGGCAGAAGAAAAGGCAGCTGTAGATCAGGATCCTCTTCCAGCTGAACTTCTCTGCCATCGCTACGAGCTAGTTCATCAGCTGTATTTTCTGCGACAGCTACAACCTTATCTATAAGCTCCTGGACACAAGACAGAAGGACATGGTTACTGTTAAGACTTCTATCACACTGCTTAAAAGCCTATACACCAAGACATTAGATAGCAGAGTTAAAGCATTTATAAAACTTTTGCACAACCGCAACAACCATCATTCTACATCCTATGCACAGATGCACTGTAGGTTACACTTTTATATGTTTATCAAATTTAATGCATCACAATTTTATGCTTTAACTTTGTGAAGCATCTCATAATGTTGTCTTTTAAATTAAATTGAATTATGAACACATCTTCTACAAAATTTCTGTAAAGCATCTGCCTGAAAAATGGTAGAGATCATGTAAAGACTATACTAGAATACAGGTGCCCAAAGAGGATGAGTTTAAGTGACGTACAACCTTAATTTTGGCATTTTCTGTTAGACATTAGTAGCAAACTCAGTATCTTTTTATATAAAAGAATTCATCTGTATTTATAGAAAAGAAAGGTGGGAAACTCATAACAGGCTATTTACACTTCCTTATTTCAGAACTCTGGTGGCTGGTAAAAAAAATAAAATCAAACAAAACAACAAAAAAGAAAATACTAAACCTTGAGAATAAAGTAAATAATTTTCATTTAAAAAAATGGAACTATTTAGCAATATACAGAACAACCTGTTCCACATTTCTTTGGAGATTCACAGGAAAAAGCCCTTGCCCTGCACATCCTAAGTTCACAAGAGACCATCTTAAATCCTTCCAAAGGTTTTTATAATACCTTTGTACAATGAGGCAAAGTAGAATGAGGCTGTCACAGTACCCAGTAACACTTCTTAAGACATTTATACTTTGCAAATGATGCACACTCTTACTTCAAATATATATTTTTGAAGGAATCCACAGAATGTAAGTTTATGCAGAATATAAAATATTAGATTCTAATATTAGAAGAGTCATCTAATACTATAGAATCTAACATTTTTGTGAGATTTAACTATTTTAATCTTAAACAAAGCAACAAAAATCTAAATATTTCTATCCCCATGTTAGCTGCCTTAAGATTGTCAAACACATCACAGGGATGTAAGATGGATGTGCTGAATATCCTGAAGGGACTGGGAAGTGTCCAAGTATTAAGTAGTAAGGAGTGATTATAAACACTCTCTATACTTTCTCAATCAAGTTAACTTCCTGAGTAACTTGAAAGCTGACAAGATAGTCAAAGAAGGTAGAGAACAGATTAAAATGTACTGACATGCAAGAGAAAAAAATAATACCTTGTTGTGGGAATTCATGTGACAGGGGGCCATCCCAGAGCCGAGTCTCACGTTGGCCCGCCCATCTATTTATGTAAAGCAGTCCGCCCAGTCTTTCCTGCCACGACTTGCTGGTTAAATAAACTGGTGGTAAATGCAGGAGGGTGCCCATTGTATGCCCTGATGCCTGGGGGCACTATCCACAGCTCTACCATCCCTACACTGTGGCCCATGCCTCACAGATGGCATCAGAACAAATTCTTACACTTTGACCCTAACTTGGTCTTTCAGTGCCTGAGGACTTACTGGGGTCTCCCTCTGATCCAATCACGCAGCCTCAACATGCCTAAGGACTTACTGGGGTCTTGACTTGACCTGACTCCCTGGCTGAGCCACACACTTGGCCTCCAGCTCAGTTGTGGCCTCAGGCATCCATAGACTAACGCTGGCCTGTCCACCCCCTACCTGGGGCTTCAACTCATGCCCTATATCTGGGGCCTTCCAACTATGCCCTCTCACTTGGGCCTTTACTGTACCACTGACATTATTACACGGGGGTTGGGCCATGTGCTGCCCTTCATAGATGCTAGGGTCAGAAGGGACCTCAGTAGGTCATTGAGTCTGACCCTCTGCCCTTGCACAGAAAAGAACACTGGGGTCAGATGACCCCAGCTAGTTGCTTGTCCAGTCTCCTCTTGAAGACCCCCAAAGTAGGGGAGAGCACCACCTCCATTGGAAGCCCATTCCAGTCTGGAAACCCTTGACGTGAAGGAGTTCCGTCTAATGTCCAACCTAAATCTGCTCTCCATCAATTTGTGACCATTGTTCCTAGCTACTCCAGGGGGTGACCTAGTAAACAGAGCATCTCTTAACTCCCTGCCCTCCCCTGATGAATTTATAGGCAGCTACAAGATCACCTCTCAGCCTTCTCTTGCGAAGGCTGAAGAGATCTAGGTTCCTCAGTCTCTCCTCATAAGGCCTTGCCTGCAGGACTCTGACTGTATGAGTGGCCTTCCTCTGAACCCTCTCAAGATTCTCCACATCCCTTTTGAAGTGCAGCACCCAAAACTGGATGCATTACTACAACTGCAGCCTGACCACTGGTGCATAGAGGGGAAGCATCACCTCCCCAGACCTGTTCATCATGCATCTGCTAATGCATGATAAAGCATGGTTAGCCTTGTTGATCACTTTGTCACACTCATGACTCATGTTCATCTTGGAGTCAGCTATGACGCCAAGATCCCTTTCCACTGCTGTGATGCTGAGAAGGTCACCCCCCAGCCTGTAAATTTGTTTGTGGTTCTTTTTGCCCAGGTGCAGCACTTGGCACTTGTCTTTGTTGAACTGAATCCTATTTTGTTCTGCCCATTTTTGCAACCTGTCCAGATCCACCTGGATCCGTTCCCTACCCCCTGGTGTGTTAACTCTGCCCCATAATTTGGTATCATCTGTGAACTTGGACAGGGTGCTCTCCATGCCCTCATCCAAGTCACCGATGAAGACACTGAATAGCACTGGTCCAAGGGCTGAGTCTTCCAGGACTGCCCACATCTTTCCAGGTCCATATCAACACGTTCACCACCACTCTCTGGGTGCAACCTCTAAGCCAATTTGCCACCCACCTGATGATGTAATCATCTACATCACATCCTGTCAGTTTATTTATGAGAACAGAATGAGATACCCTATTGAAGACCTTCTTTAAGTCTAGGTAGATGACATCTACCTTGACTCCTGTGTCTAAGCATTTTGTGAACTGGTCATAAAAAGAAAAAAGGTCAGTCAGGTAAGATCTACCTGCAGTGAATTTGTGCTGATTTCCTTTCAGCATTATTTCCCCTGCTGGGCTCCCACAAATGTGATCCTTAATGATTTTTTCCAGAGTTTTCCCAACAATAGAGGTGAGACTAACTGGCCTTATAGTTTTCCGGTTCCTCCCTCTTCCCCTTTTGAAAATAGGGACCATATTGGCCCTTTTTCAGGCTGTCCCTTCATCCCTACTCAGCACCTGAATTACACACAGTCCTTTGGGTAGTTAAGACGCCCCCTATTCTGTGCAGGCCACCTCTGCTCTCATGCCCTCTCCCTAGGACTACACTACTGCCCACTCTCTCTGGGCCAAACAACTGCCCCCTCCCTGGCCCTCTTACCCACAATGTTGTGGGGGCTGGGTTTACTGAGGCACCCCTCCCTGCCTTTCATAGTTTCTAGGGTCGGAAGGGACCTGAGT